GGTTTTAAACTAAGATTGCCTCATCATGAAAAGTAATAGTGTTATAGCTGGTTTGGTCAAACACTTTGAATGATCTAATGYCCAATCTCACTTGACCTTGTGAAATGTGTCAGCGCTCATCCTGTTGAGGACGACTGTCAGCTACTACYACAACAAGTACATGCTACATRCTACAGCACTCATTAAAAACAGATATATRAGCGCTGAGAGACTGATGTGTGTGAAGAAGAGGTTGGTGGTATAAAATTTGATGTTTTCCTTCTTTGGGTGTGAGATAAAGTACTTTGGTGTTGTTGGTCTGTTTCACACAAGCCTTATATGATTTTTTTTCTCCTCCAGTTTTTGGAACAAAAACATAATGTAAGCTAGGAGAARAAAAGTTTGATTAAACAGAGCCAAAGATTAATTTGCCGACTTTAAATTACATATGTACACTTTAATACAAACAACATTGAAAGAACATATATTCTGGCATTTTAACGTGGGGATTCTGTGGAAATGTTATAATCATCTMATACAATGAGGAAGAGACATTCAGCCATGGTTAAGAATGGAGGAAAAAAAACTGGACGGAGAAAATCACGTAGGGTGACATGGGAGGTGGACTATCTTAGGTTCACAGCAAAGCTGTGTTTAGTCTGCTTAGAAACACTGTCTGCCATGAAGGATTTTAATAGGTCGCCATTRCAACACGTTGCACAAAGCTAAATATGAGAAGTTTACTGAAGTCAACAGCAGTGACTTTTTACCAGAAGCACAATCATGCAGGAGTCTGAACTCAGGGCATCTGAAGATGTTGCACTGCAGCTCGCTAAAGTAAGAGTGCATTTTTTGTTTGCTTTAATTGTTTTGTATTCGTTTTACAAGAGTACAACTGTTATACATGCATTTGAGCATGAAATATGCTAAGTTACTTTACCGTATGTTGGTTTAATAAACAAATATATACACAGACACTTTTAAAATGGCAGTTTTATTGCATTTTAGTAAGTGTGTTGCACTATGTGGTCCTCTGGTTTTGTCAACAAAACACTGTCCCCTTCCATCATACAGGTTGTCCATCCCTGATCTAATATCTTTTCAGTTGAAGATAGCCCTTTGAACAAACTCACTGACAGAGATACAGTTTATTCTGTCCGGACTGACAAGCTAACAGCTAATATGTAGCTAAAACCAGCATGGATTGCTGACAACCATATGAAAGCTTAACTATTAGCATTTGCACAAACTGTTTGCATGAACTGTTTTGATGAGCTAATAATGCCACTTCAAAAACAAACTACTGCTGCATTAAAACAAATCTAGCAGTTCATACCAATTTAGGCAAGCTCTATTATTATTATTATTATTATTTCATTTTTTTACATTTTTATAATATTTTAAAAATGCAGTCCTTTTGGCAGAAACATGAAACTTTTGCTAGATTAGACCTTTGGCTGCAATGAATTTCTACAGCAGCCACTATTTAAGCTCCCAATTAACCATTAAACTCTACATAAAAATAATCCTGTGTTGTGAGATTGACAGTTATGTAATGATTTATAAAATAGTCTTTATATTAACCACTATGACATTTTGGAGATTGAAGCTGCTTCTTTGTCCCTCTTGGAGTAGTTGTTAGTAGTGATGGACATTTTAAGTTACAGTAGTCTATAAATTAATACATACAGTGTAAAGAAGATAAAAATATCCATTTTTTCCAATATTTTCCACAAAATCTGTGAAATACAAGCTCTCACATTCCATTCACCTTGCAACCAGGCAGAAACCCGAGTCAGAGCTCTTTGTGGACATAAAATTTAATTCACTCAAAACTCTTATTACCATTTCACTGAAGCCACAAGTGTGATTATGCCTGTTTCTTAACCATCTTTCAGTCTGGGATCCATTTACCTGTCTCATTCCTCTTTTTCCCTGCAAAAAAATCCAACTTTCTGCTCGGCTATCGCACTCGGGGGCTGCGCCGGTGATTAATCAAAGCGGCGAGCTCTGACAYACGGCTAAATTGGCTGCTCTAACCTGATATATAACACGGGGCTGGAACGCCGGCTAACACAGTCATGTTCTCTGGAGGATCCCACCTCATGCAGAGATTGGGTTGGGTTTGGAGCTTAAGGCAAAAGAAGTTTTTAAACCGGTCACTAATATAATCTTCCTCCAAAGCTTTTTGTGCATTTGGTCATGTTTTGAAGTCACAGGACCTAGAAATGAAAGAAAGCGAGGAGAAGGAACTCAGCAGCAATTTGGTGTGGAGTATAACTTTATGTAGGCAATAAATCATTGCTGGAACGACTATATTAAATATTTTTACAATAATCTGTAAGGTCGCAATGCAGAAGAAGCTAAAAATGTACCACAGTTCCATCTGTGTGTCTTGCAGCAACTGTTATTTCCATCCAAATTTGATTTGTTGTGATATTGTCATTTAGCACAGTGTCTGTGTTGAGCACAAAGGGCAGCGCATCGAACACATCAAATRACAGGCAACATTCCCAGTTGTTCTGTGTTGATAACCTTTGAACCTGAGGAGATAATGTACATATGACTGTGGATATCGATTTCTAAGACAATTCTGGTCTTCTTTGATATGCTAAATGGCCACCTTCCCTTTRGAAAAAAATGGAATTTGATCCAATATGGCAGCTTTCAAGATGACAGTCATTATCTGGACATAACGTAAAAGATAGACCCCGTTACTTGCTGGGGTATTCAAATATTTACTTTTCCCTTTCATTTATGAACTAAAAAGATGTCTAAATGCTTTTTCACTCAACCTGTATATACCAACCCATTCTCACTCCCGAGTCGTCACATATTGACGTTTTTCAAAGGTCCCTTTGCGTCCAATTTTGACGCATCAGGTACCMCCCTTGCGTCATATTTTGACGGGATGGGGCGGAATCTGTTGTCGTAATTTCTGAAAGTGTAGAAAATGCACAAATACTACCGTCCCAAAGCGTGAAATTACGTTTATTCACTTTAGACATCCTGTCCCAGACCCTAGTACCTAAAATTAACCATTAACCCTGATACGTAAAATTAACCATTTTTAGAAAATGTAGGAAATTCATGGCAACTACGTGTTGCAAAGCCTAAAATTACCTAATGTTCACTGTAGACATCCTATCCCTGACCCCAGTCCCTAAACTTAACCATTTATCCTGATCCCTAATGTTAACCTCAGACCCCCGACCCAAAGACCCCTGGTGGCGCAACCCGGAAAAGCCGCGGGYGGCAAGGACTGACGCGAGGGGGGTACCTGATGCGTCAAAATTGGACGCAAAGGGACCTTTGAAAAACGTCAATATGTGACGACTCGGGAGTGAGAATGTGTTGGTATATACACATATTTATTTTAATAGGTGGATGTGGTGGTGCTATTAATAGACATTTAACCAAATATGAGAAGGAACAAATGTATAAATTTGAGCTTATTAGTGTAATTTTGACCTTGTGTGGATTAAAGAAAATCCACAATAAATCCAATCTTGGCAGTCAAACTGTTTAAAAACATAGAATTTGTCTGTTGTATAATCATTCCACTATGTAAAACAAATTACAATAATGGTTTAAAACAATCATTCAAAGCTGCAAACTATTGATATTCATGCCCATAATAAGTGTATGTAAATGTAGTATAGGTTTAACTCCTGTATTTTAAAATTCCTTGTAATGATTGTGTTTGAGTAACTTAGTTGGAATATAAACTTTGAGAACCACTGTTTTAGCAAATATCATTAAATAGCACACCTTCAGTTTATTTGTATTTATTCTTCCATTCGGTGCAAAATGTTAGCAGCCTTGTCAGCTCTGTTTATCAAGTCATATACTATAGTGTTTGACCAAAGGCAACATGCAGTATCTTTAACTAGGCCTGAAGTTCAATGTTCTGATGAAATCTGTTTTCTTTCATTCATGGGTTTAAGTGAAAGTGGGGAAAAAATGACAAATAGAGTAATTAAAAAGCCCAGAGTGTTTTCAAAACTGCAGAGTTGGTCTGAATGTACAGTAATTCAACTGTGGTAGTGATAAACTTGTAAAAAAATTGTCCTTGTGTTTAAACACTTTTTTGTTTGTGTTGTATCCTTACCGGAGCGACCGTCCCTCTGAATGTCCACATGGTGCCAGGCACCATCACTGACTTTAGCCTGGGTGGCCTTGACTTTAACTGTCCCAGAGCCCATGTCTAGAAGCAGGTACAGCCCACCGTCCAGCAGCTCCACAGCAAAGAAGTCCACCTTGTTGTTCTTCTGGCCCTTCACGTCCCGTCGACCCTGAGGCTTCCCGTGGGTGAAGAGGATGAGCCCATTGGGTTCAGAGGTGCGGAAATCAAAGGAGATGGAGCCAACTCGTTTGGTATTCCACTTTGGCAGGGCCAAATACGAATCAGGGGTCTCAAAGTTGATCGGGTCGAGAGTGGGAACATTTTCACACTTGAAAACCACATCGCCTTGGAGCTTCATTTTAGGGTCAACGATGCGAGCCAGGCGAGAGAGCTCCAATCGGATATCATTGTTCTTATACACCACCTGGAGAGGATATAAAAGTCAGGTTTAAAAAGATTCTGATACACGCAGTGTGAGTACAAAGATCATCGGAATGAGCTTTATGTTAGAACAGCTTCTTCTGCTAATCTTTCAGTGCAGTCAAGAGTGAAAATACAATATTTCTTCATAAATAAATTGTACTCCAGTGCACACTGTGAAAAAATGGGATTATGCTCCGGTGCTATTACGCACTGCAGATGCAGGGACAGTTGGATCAATAAAAATAATATCTTCAAAGAATTGTTTGTCTCAGCGATTATCTGTTTCACCTTCAATTTAGTCAAGATGAAAAAGAGATTGTAAACAAATGCCTGAGTGTATTTTAGTTTGATTGAACACCTGATGCAAGAGTGAGGAGCAAGGAGTGATGGCTAAATTACTGGTGAGTCCTTTTCTGTAATGTTCAAAAAGTTTTAGTCTTTGTGAAATAAGACTCAAAGCCCATGAGACCTGTAACCCCAGAAGAATATTCCTACTATATCAATCACACAAACCCTATCATCTGTTAAAATAAGAAATTAGCATCGCAATTGTCAAACACACACAAAAAAACAAAAAACAGGGAGGCAGAAAAGCTTCACTTGGACTCCACTGATGCAGAAAATTAAATTGCTTTTTTAGTTTGTTTGCTTTGCCTCATTGTTCCAAAGAAGAAGTCAGTTGTTTTCTGGCGCACAAGGTAGTGTGTGTGTGGATGGGAAGCGGCACCACTGTTCGTCAGACAACAGCTGTCAGCAAACAGATTTTGCTGCTGTGGGATTACTGATAATCCAGGAAGATTTGACAGTATATCAACACAGGTGACCCCAGCAGCCTCAGCAAAGTAAGGGACATAAAAAATAAGGGTAGAAAAGATGAAAAAAAAGGAAACTGTATAAAAAGGAAAGCAGGAAACAAGCAAAAGAAAAATGATCTTGAAGAGTAAGGCAAGTATTTGGTTTCAAAATGCACCTTTGTGTAACTAAGATTGGGAAGTAATACCATAATACTGTTCTGGTGTCCACTGGAATACCCAACATCAAAATACACACCCTCTTCAACTTAATTAACATCACCAAGAAAACAAATCAAGGACGAAAACCCAGGCATCCTACTGTCATTCTCCAGCTCTTCCTGGGGTATGCCGAGGTGTTCTCAAAACAGAGATGTTTAATTCCTCCAGTAAGTTTGAGGTCTGTCCTGGGGACTCCTCCCAAAACCTCTTAAGGAAGACACCCACACAGCAAGCAAGTGTGGACCAGATGTAGTATCACTTTAGTACTGTTAGCTGACTGCTGGCATGGCAAGTGATTTGTCAAAGCAAAGGGGGCCAGGTCTGGCAAGGATGGCATGGTTTTGAAAGTGGCAGAACTGGTATACATGGTAACTCTGTTACACCACAGCTAACTCATATACCAAGAAATGAGCAAACATATTCTAACCATATCTTGTTCATGTTATAGTTTAGAAAACTATACATCATCATTCATAATAATGAAGCAGTTCTTAGACAGGAGGTTGAAAAAAGGAAGCTGCATACACTAAAGCCCCTCATAAGTCAGCATTCAGAATTCCCTTACAATAAAAAAGAAATAAATAACTGTGCAGTAGAGCTGTTGTGTCACACTATGGAAGGACAAGAAAAAGAAAAGATGACTCATACAGATTTTGTGATCCACAGGGATGAATATTGTCTCAGTGACGAGAATCTAATACTAGCTTCCTCCCCGTGGGAAATTCAAGCACAGCTTTGTTCTGTGTTGCATGTCTCTTTTAAGAAATTAAGACTATACAATCTGTTATAAGAAATCAAATAATATAAAGTTTTATAAATTTTTTTTAGGAAAACAATAACACCATATAACAGTGTTAAAGGAGACCAATTATGGGTCCTAGAAATTTTTATGGTATGTCCTTGGGCTAACCAGACCATGTTCATTCAATTTAATGCACACACTAATAATATAATAAATAAAGATAATAAAATTTCACATTTTCTAGTTCTGCCTGCTCTGACTTCCGTTCAGAAGAGCTGTTTATGTTAATGAGCTCTGTTGGTAACGCCCTCCAAAAATCTGTTGACATTCCGCCCTCCAAAGCCAGCGTTAGCATGGCTAATAATAGCAGAAACTCAGTTGTACAACCAAATGAGACCCAGAGGCAGAGCATGGTCGCAGCATCTTTTTTTTCCTCCTCCTCCTCTGCTCTGCGCTCACTCTGCATGCTGTTACCAGAGCAGGGAGCAGCAGCAGTCAAAATACCTCAGAAACTCAAACAAATAGGCTTTAACAAGGCTTTAATAAGCTAAACAATAGAGGTACATGAGAAAACGTGTTCATAATGAATGAAAATAAATAATTAAATCGTGTCCATGCCAGTCTCAAACCCTGGTCTCCCACTCTCTGGTCAGACACTCTACCCATTGCCCTATTGGAGGCTTGTTGTGAAATGAGCTGCGCATTGCACAACAACAACCGTGATGGCTCTTTATATTGAGGAGGTGGAGTCTCACCCGGGGGTTGCTAGGTAAGGGGCTGAACGCAGGTTCTGGTGGGTTGTCGTACGGCTTGTGAGATCACAAAATGACGGAAGGATAAAACTTGTTGTTAATATACATTAAAAATATATTTGCTTACAGTAAATATGCCCCTGGGTGCATTTTTTTGGTCCTAGGACTGTTTTTTTAAGAAGCACATATCCAAAGTTGAGTAAAAAACCTTTAAAAAAATGAATTTTGCATAATAGGTCCCCTTTAAAATAAAAGAAACCCAAAAGTGATCCAGCATCTACTTTTAGAATAATCTAAGGTGACAAAATGCCCATGTTTTCAGCTGAGTTCAGATCTTTATTGTCCTTTAGGGAGACATTGGGTGTAAAGTAATGATTAAAATGACACAGAAATTCAAGACAAAAATACAAGAAACCAAGGTTCAGCCACTAAAATGTGCGAGTTAAAGATTTTCATGGAATGTCAGTTATAATACAAAAAGCACTGCTTAAATTGATTTAGGTGCATTGATTGCACTTGGAAAAAAGGAAAATTAGCAACTATTGCACTTTGCCCTAGATAGCTTTTCTTTGAAAAGATGGGAAAACAATAAATTAATCCCATAAAAGGTGATCACTGATGGCTAAAATTGCCTTCTTCACAATTTTTTTGTTCCAAATTCCTGACAAGGACAGTTGCTGTTTGCCAATTATCTCACTTTTGATGTTTAAATGGTACAAGAGTGCTGCCATAAGCACCTCCCATCCCAAGTACTGACAGCTGGTCAGTCTCACATCACCATTCATAAACATGAATAAGATATAAACACACAGACTTGTGTTGTTTTTGTGTCTAATCTGAGAATATCTTCTTTCCTATTAAATAAATAAGAAAATTAAATTAATTAGTCTTTATTTGTTTGTTTATCATTCAAAACAGTGATTCTGCTGCTCAAAATCTTACTCCAAGCTCAGGTCCAAACTCGAGAGCCCTGAATACCAGGGTTTAGTCTGGTTCCAGTTTAAACGGTATACCAGTTTAAACCCTTGTATGTATCTGTATCTGTTGTTGCAAATGATCAAGTGTTGCTGAAACCTTGATGTTTTTAAGTGTTTTCATGTTGAGCAGAACACCTTGTATCCCACTTTCAGCTGCACACTTTCCTTCTCCTCACAGGCAAGAGAACAACATGAATATTACATGAAAAGAAACGGCGAGGCTTTAATGCTGCTCATTTGCTACAGAGAACTTTAACAGCTCTGCAATGGTCACTGTGCATTACTTAGATGCAAATCCCTCAAACTTGTTCAGAGCTTCTGCATGTCTTTGAGCCATGTTCAGCTGAATTTTTAATTAATTAGGCACAGTGGTTGTCGTACAACACAGAGTTTCTAACGGGGTGATCATTCGCACTTATAACCTTGAGCTTTACTGAGAGTGGAACATTTTTAATAACACTTCCAGACACAGCAGTGTTTCTCTGATATGTACTAATAAACTTCCTCATTTCTGGTTTGGGATTATGATGTTATCTGTCCTGCTGCAGGCGGATCAATAAGGCAATCTAAATGAAGTTATAAAAGAACAGACTAGCTCAACTATGTCTGTCACATTTTTTCCTTTGTTGTGACTCTGTTTTGCTGTGCTATCCTTTAGCTTATCAACGGTCTTATGGGGACTATTCATATTGTGCACACAGGAGACCAGAACGACTCCATAAAACCTACCATTTCTCCTCCAGGATGGGGTATTGATTTGGCCTTCGCAAGGCTAGAAGGAGACATGTGAGGGAAGGGCGGGTGGGTAGAAGTACAAAAGTTTGCTCAAGCACACACACACAAACACAGTCTCTCTCCTAATCTACTTCAGATCAGTGCTTGTGGCCTTTTGGGCCCATCTGCAGCTGCTTGCAGCCTTAGCCCCAGCGTTAATGAAGAAGATACAATACTCAGACGGTGCTCCTGAAGCTTTGCAAAGGAGATGAACCGTTCAAACGCACAGGCACAAAGTGATAATCCTTTAAATGCATGTATATACAAAAAAATACCATTCCAGGATGGAATGAATATTGGCTACCATCTTGCAAGCTAAGGTTTGWAATAAATATTGTTACTATCACACCAAATTTTAGGGGAATTTTTGTAAAGATGACTGCATTGGAGTCATTTTCTTATGCTTTGTAAGRTAACTGGATGTGGCATCCATCTTGAATTGGTTGACTGTAATATTTATTCAACTGCAGATGTACTCCATCCAATGAATAATTTGAGTTGTTTTATTTACTTGTCCTTGAAGCATTTACGGGTAGATAAATTCAGAGTTTAAGAAGTATTTTGCAAACAAACAAACAAGTTTTAAATCAGGATGTTGTGCAATCTGTTCGTACCATGTTAGGACACTCTTTTACTAACGCATCAAAGTGTAGCTCAAAATCTGTAAGTTATGTCCATGTTTTTGTTCGCTGATCTTATTTTTTATTAATTTTTTCATGCTACATGTTAAGCTGTCATGTCCA